TTAACAAAATATATAGTAAAATTGCTCAAGGAAAACTTTTTATTATAGGCGAGTTTCAGCAAAAAAACGTTTTTCTGATCGTGTGACGTTAGTGTTACGTTACACCTGATCTTCAACCGTGATTGGCTTGCACTCGGATAATGTGTACCAGGTTATTACGTCATTGTGGCTGTTAAACATCGACGCTCCGATTCCGATCGAATTTTTTTCAATTTTAAAAATGCAACTTTAATTGAATACGCATTACAAAGCAAATAAAAAAAAGCAATTCTAATACATAATATAGTATGAAATACAGTAAATGATTAATTTATTTTATTTGCTAAGACATTCTTCGATAATTTATGTGCCTTTTTGGCGCCGTTCTTTTCTTGCGCGCTCTAATTGAATATGGATCGGTGTTTTCCTTTGTTGTACGAGACTTCCTTCGTTGAACTGATGAAGGCTGCACTTTAATCTTTGAACCACTTCGAATCGTTTCATTTTTTGATGTAGAGTTTTGTTGAAAGAGATAAGCAGCCAGCTTACCCACTGATATAGATTCAGACTTTTCATATCCTTTTATAAAATGTTCAATTCCACTAAGAAGCTGTTGATTATTTTTAATATCATTTAAAATACGATTAAAAAAGGTTTCACTGATGTTATACGATTATTTATATCATCTTCATAGCTCCTAAAAATAGCAACAATGTAATTAATAATTTTAATTTTACAAAATTTATAGCCCGTATTTTTTTTTGTTATTTTACGGACCTGTTTTGGGAGCTTTCAATGATTACTTCAGTATTCAGCTCATTTCCATTTAGTGGATTCATATTTTGATGGTTTATTTCATTATTATAACTGAATCCTGATACAATTGGTGCACACAAGATGCATAAAATGTTGGATCTTCTGCGATTGTTCCTTTTAAATATTTTAAATTTATTAGTATAGTATATAAATATATATGTATGTAAAAATATAATTAAATTTTAATAAATTTTACCGCATGCTATATATCTATAAGTCATACAATCTTCAAGAGTAAGAGCCGCAATATAATTAAAAGAACCTGAATGATATTTAATAGCAACTACTGCTTGATGTTTACAAGGTGATCCACCAAGTGCCATAGGACAAGTGCATGTTCCAATAGATGAATCAACGATGTAATATTTATTATTAATTGTTGCACTAAGAACGAAATATATATTATTTATATTATCGTATTGAATATTTTCTTGATTAATTTCTTCCCATCCTGGGCAGCAGAACCGTTTTGATATTTCTAAATGACCTGGGTGACGATTTGCAATTGCTAGTATTCATCGTTCATAAAAACGCTCCATGTTGGTTGTGATGAATTGAAAGATTTGTACTGGATTATATGCCTTAGTACGTGCAAAAACAATGTCCTTTAGAAGTCCAAAACTTCTTTCGACATAGTTGTTGGTATGATTTCCACGTAATAATAAGTTTTGTCGATATGCCAATGCCCAGGTAGCTCGACGTTCCCAGAGACACAAACAATATATTGCAAGCTGATCATATTTTGTAAAATATTTATATCACAAGTTTAAGAATTCAGTTTCCATTTCATTAACTATAGGTGTATATAAAACTTTTTTGAATAATGTCATAATTTGTGTATGATCTTCTTTATGAATATTATGTCTTGAATTATACAACCAATGCCAAACTGATTGTAAAATGTGAAAAATACATAATAATCGTATACATGTTGGCCAGTAATGTGCAATAGCATTATGCTCTGCATAAGAATCATCCGTAATAATAATCATAGGCCCAATTTGTGGTCCACGATTGTGAAATGCATTGTTTGGTAATACTATTTTAAGCAAGTTTATAGCATTTTTGATAGTAATTTCAGTTTCATCTGAAGTTAAAAAAACACCTAATGGTAATGCGCCAATTGAGCAGCTTGTGTAAAGAAGAGTAATTGAGGTGTTAAGTGGATCAAAAGCAGCGGATGCATCAAAATAACAGAGCTCTCTGGCTTGACGAATTTTTTCATGAACTCGCTTCATTAAGTTAGTCACAATGCATAGAATAAACGGAGTAGATGTAGATGAATTATAAGTTTGAAGTATAGCTTTTCCTTTACCAGAATTGTTATAAAGAGTAACAACTTCTTGCATATAATCAAACATTCCCTTTCCATTTCGATCCCCCAATTGTAAAATACGAAACTGATTATAAAAATTTTTTACATAAGTTCCATCAGGATTTATTGACCAATCAGCTAGTAATCGAGCTAGTTCATCATCATTAGATGCCGATAAATGTAATTCATCTTCATATAAATATCGTGCAGTTGCTGCTGTATGACCTATATTAAATAACTCAATATAACGTTTTTGAGCATTGAGTCCAACTGGTCGAAAACTTAACGAACTTGCAGAATTGGGCACATGATTATGTATAAACCGAAGGTTTATTTCAAACAGGTAAGTATCCTCAAAACCAAATTTTTTAGATTTTTTCAATCGAAGGTTTAAAGTTGCCTTACATTCGGTATCCCTATTTCGCAGACCATTTAGATTTTTTGTTTCATAGTAATTATTTTTTTGTTTTACTAAATTGCTATGGATGCAGTGTCGCAACTCCCTAAAAACAACTTTATCTCCTTTAACTGGATAAGTACGTGTTAAACGCATTGTAGTTTTTGAACATTCTTGAAATTTATTAAACCATGTTAAAGCATCTTCTTTTGTATTAATATTTGCAAGTAAATCAGCAACGATCTGCTCGATTTTCACATTTTCCACAGTAATTATTTGTGTCAATTCGTTTTAGTTTACAAGTTGATATTCATAATCTAATGGAAGTATTTGTCGAAGCGGAATAGGTAAAGTTGTTCTTTCACTTGAGTAATTTTGCATCATTATGAGAAATACTTTTTTTTTTTTTTTTTTTATGATTTTATTTTTATTTAATTACATATCATAAAGCTTATTACAAATTATCGATTTGCATTACGATCGAAATTGGGGTATCAATGATTATCAGCCACAATGACGTACTAATCTGGTACACATTATCCGAATGCGATTGGCTTTCGGTCACGTTCTAAAAATTTTTGGTGGATAAAGTTTTCTTAGTAACCACTTTATTAATATTGATAATTTTTTTTATCTGAATTCTACGGATACATATAATTCAAATAAAAAAATTTTGTTGAAATTGACAAAGTAATTATTGAGAAAACTTTGCCCAAAATCAGAAAAATTTTACTTTTGCAATTATTTAAGTTTTTTTGACAATTACTCAATTAATTTCTATAAAATCTTTTACTTAAATTTACATAATTATAAATTCAAATAAAAATCATAGAAATTGATTAGATAATTATTAAGAAAACTTCAAAGTTTTAAAAAGTTAAACTCATAGGCGGGAATGATTTTCTTTAAACAAATTTTCTTGATAGCTACTTAGGCAACTTCGATAAAAATTATTTTATCTGAATTCTGCATAACCATAGAATTCAGATAAAAAAAAGTTCAAAATTAACAAGTGATCACTAAAAAAACTTCGCACAAAATTTAAAAAATTACAATTTAACTTCAATTAATAAATTGACAATCATATTATCATCGGCCAATAGGATTGCACGTAAACATGGATGTTACACGGAAGGATCTGCAAACTGGGCACAGGTTCAAATTTCGCGTTACGTTACGCTCGAACTTCAATTGTGATTGGCTCGTGGTCACGTTTTGCAGAATTTTTGGGGCAGGGATGCAAAGCCTGTCCAACGTCCAAACGTCCAAGTGTCCAAAGCTCATCTAAACTTTGATAATTAAAAATTTATTTGAAAGAAACATGATTATATATTTTATTTAATTCTGAAATAGGCTAACATAATAAATTTTGAGCAATTTTACTATTTAAAAATGTCCAAGATGTCCAAACTTTGTCCAAAGGTTGTCCCGTGACATCCCTGCCACAGGGTTATGTATGTAAAATTAAGCATTGGAAAACTTTTACTCAGAAGTCAAGTCAAGTATAGACTTCATAATAATAAATTTAACAAGTTTCGTTAGTAATTGTAATAGATTTCGTATTAGCAAATAAAATCGACTTAGTACGAAGACTACGCCAATTTTTTAGAAAATTAACAGTCGATTCAATTAGAGCATATTTGGTGACGCCAAGCAAAAACCAGACAAGTTTTATTACTGGGCTCAGTCCTGGCTGATGACATATATAATATGTAAATAAATTTATATAATATGTAAATAAATTTATGTAATAAAATTAAATCAGGCTGAGCTTGGTAATAATCTGAGATTTCGACATATCATTTCAAATTTGTTAATTTACATTTTTTGCTAATATGTAGATTTAATTAATTAAATTTATTATCTATTTCTAGCAGTGGCGATGACATAAAATTTTCGATCGGGAACTACAAATAGTAAAAGAGTTCATTTTTATTTTTATAGAGGTAAAGCTCAGGACATTAATTTGGACTAGCATATGGCATTTAGCACATGATTACACATAATCTCAAACAAAATCACCCGCATTTACGATAATATCTTTTAATGATGCATAAAGCCCATTATTTCTATTCTTTAGAGGATAATTCAATGTAAAAACAGATTCTTCAAAGATTTGCTCATGGAATCTTCAAAAAAACTACCGGAGAGATTTGGAAAATTCTACTTTTGCGCCTAGTTGCATGTTGATCATTAAATTCATTAAATTGTATAAATACATGCCATGAATATTGAATCATTGTGACGTTCTTTCACTCAGATCACCAGATGCCTCACATAGAAATCATTAGAAACACCAAATTTCGATTTAAAGAGTGCACGAATTGTGCATCTTACCTTAAGCATTTAGTCAAAGGTTAATCATCGTCACACAATAACGTAAAAGTTTGTTTATTTTGTTTATCATATCCAATTACATCAATCATGATTTTAACGAAATCCTACGTATATATGTAATTTTTTCTTTGTTATTTCGTTATTGACAATTTCTCAATGGCCGATAACTCTCGCTTAAAAAATCCACTTGCTCCTGTTACAGCTGCTGTTTCGAAGATAGCAGCTTCGAATGTTGTACAAGAAACACGAAATTTATTATTTCATCACATACATAACACAAAGGAAAATAAAGAAGTCTTTGCGGATTTTGTAACGATACTTCGTTCAAAACCACTCAGCAAATTATCCCAAGTAGAAAAGGAAGCACATCGAAAAAAACTTGAAGATACGTGTAGAAAACTATTAACGCGACTAAGTCGTGTTGGCCTAAAGTATGAGGTTCGACGTGGATCCGAAGACTTGATATTTGTATTTATTTTATGTCCTCTTGATAGACTTAAGCAAGAAAGTGAAAGATCAAGGTAATAGCAATATTTATAATGATTATAAATAATGGTTATCAATATCTAATTCACTAAAATTTTGCTATAGAATCCATGATTGGCTCGTAGGTGCTCGTATTCGCGATATTGATGAAGATACAGAGGGGCCTCTAACAGATGCAGAACGATTGCGCCTTGTACATGATATAATTACCAACCCTCTTTCTGAAGGAGGTGCTGATATTAATCCAGGATTAGGTGAATTTGAGTTGATTGAAGGTTTTTTACCTCTTCAAGATAGAACCTACAACGAGGTTGTTATTTAATTTCCTTAAATTTTCTTATAAACCATTTTGTTTTTCGTTATCTAAAAAAAAATATTATTATTATTATTATCGCTTTTTAAGGCTTGGATGATAACCTGGTCAACAAAATGGTTGATTGAAAAAGATGACTTACTTCGACTAAGAAATCATTTTGGTGAAAAAGTATGCATCAAATGCTTTTTTTTTTCTCTCTTAAACATTTTTGACATTTTGTTAATTATCGTTAATTGGTTTGGTTATCCAGATTGCATATTATTTTGCATTCCTTCAATTTTATTGTAAATGGCTTGTTATACCAGCAATTGCCGGACTAGTGACATATTATTCTGGTGCACAATATTCAATACCATTTAGTATATTTATTGTTATTTGGTCAGTTGCATTTGTCGAATTCTGGCGTCGTGAAGAATATAAGTTGGCTGTGTGGTGGGGAGTTCGTCATTTTTCACGCGTAGAAAGACGCAGACCTGAATTTAGGAAAGAATGCTTTATCAAAAATCCTATTACTGGTGAACAAGTCCCATATTTTTCTCCGTGGAGAAGATGGCTAAGGAGGACCCTTGCAGTGCCTGTAATACTCATTTTCAGCATAACTTTATCATCATCCTTAATCTTCTACATAATGATTGAAGTTATAATGTCTGAATATTACTCAGGACCGTTCAGAGATCAATTGGTATGTATATATATATGTGATATCGATGTTTATTTATGTTAATATGATAACAATTTCCACTATTTTTTATTGTTTTAGATTTTCCTTCCGACCATTGTATACTGCCTGTTAATCCCGACTTTGAATAGTTACTATATCAAAATCGCAAAACGACTAAATGACTATGAAAACTATGATACAGAGTCACGCTATGAATTCAATTTAACACAAAAAATTTTCGTGGCTAATTTTCTGATTAGTTACTTGTCGATACTCTTTATAGGATGGATTTACGTTCCATTCAATACAGAAATTGGATATTTCTTTCAAGAATTATTCAATTGGTTTGGCTTTTCGACAACCGTTAAGAAAATCGGACCGGAAAGGCTTGTGACTGAATTAAAATATTTTGTCCTGACAGCTCAAGTGCTGAACATGTTTACGGAGCTTATCTTACCATATCTGATTCGATTTGGATCATTTAGTATGAAAAGGATTCAAAATAATGGTGCTACTAAAGATGGTGGGAGAAACGAAGATGAATCTGCATTCTTAAAGAGAGTTAGGAAAGAAGTGAAGTTGCCAGTTTATCAAATTTATGAAGATTATGCGGAAATGATCACTCAGGTATTTATTTATGTTTGATGTTTTTAATTATACTTTAAATTGGTAACTTAATATTTCCTTCCACAGTATGGCTACGTAAGCTTGTTTTCTGCGATTTGGCCATTGACGCCGTTATTCGCGCTCATAAACAATTGGATTGAACTCCGTTCTGATGCAATAAAATTATGCGAGCATACAAGGAGACCAATTCCTAGAAGAGCTGATACTATTGGGCCATGGCTTGATAATCTAGTATGTTTAAATAAGTAGTTTTATTTTTTTATCCATTTGATTATTATGATCATCCTAGTTTGAATTAGTTATTTAATAAATTATTGGATTTACATTCTATAGGTGATTCTTACATGGTTCTCATCAATTACAAATCCATCTCTTATTTACATATATCATTCGGACACCAAATCCCTTTCATCTCCTTTATCAATGATGGTAGTCATCGTTCTTATTTGGTTTTCCGAACATATTTTCAACGTAGTTCATTATCTTATAAAACAAATGTTGGCGGCTCTACCAAGTGAGGCAAATGATCTCGTACAAAAAGAGGAGTATGAGTTGAAAAAACGATTATTAGAAAAGGCTGGAATATTTTCGGGTTCATCACATCATGAATACGAAAATGATGAATCAATGAAGAAAAGGGAAGACAGTGAATGGTTCTGGCATTCAGACCATACGCCTAATATTGAGGAAGCATTACAAGAAATAATGCAGGATAAGACGGAATGAATTGGTTTAAAATTTTGACCAATTTGGGAGTTTGTAAATTTTCATAAATATATATATTTATTTTAGGATGTATATATTATTTATTGGTTGAATAGGTTTATCAAAGGGATGGGATCTGGGATTCATTCGATCTTGAAATTTTCACTCATGTACATTCAAATTATTTTTATTTTGCATATGTTCATTTTATTTATTGCTGAAAAAATAATATATTTATGAATGAACAAAGTTATTTTCATGTCTTAACACTTTGCACTATAAAGGAATCTAAATTCACAATTGAAATTTTCATATGGGATCTTTGCCAGGAAAATGAGCCTTCGAGGTTATATTGATTTTGCGAATAAAATTAAATTTTTCCAGCCATTTAGTTATCCAATTGGAATAAACTTTTTTTAAGTGAAAATAATTACAAATACGGGCCCAAATTAAAAATAATTACATATAAGGGTCTAAATAGCATAGCGGGCTTTAATTTTGATTGGATGATCGGATAAAATGTTACACAATATGTTCACATATTAGAGTAACGT